TCCCTTGTTCAGGGATGGAGGAGGCTGGGAAGGGCAGGCTGAGCCTGTGCTGAGCCGTGAGTCAGGCTGGGCCCCACCCCTCCCTTCCCAGCACCCCACCTCCTCCAGGGCCCCTCCCCTCCCCTCCTGGGGGCCAGGAGGGAGGGTGGCTGGACAGGCTGATCCCCTCTCACTGACCACACTGTCCAGCCAGGCCTGGGCTTCGGACCCCACTCTCTGGCTGTGCCCAGAGGCCACCTGGCCCCAGGGGTAAAGCCACAGCGAGAGCTCAAGTGGCTTGGCCAGGGGGGTCTGGGATAAGTCTCCCCACTGTGCTCGTGCCAACCTGTTGTTCAGCTCCTCTGGTCCTTGGGTCCCTGTCTGGATAGTGGAAGAGGCCAGAGTCCCTGGGCTGAGCTGCTGCCTCTAAGTGACCTTAGACAGGTCACCATGCACTGCTGGCTGAGTTAGGGGGTTTTTTGGTACCAGGGATAGAACTCAGGTCCTTGAGCTTTCGAGGCAGGTGGCAGAACCACTGAGTTAAATCCCCGGCCCCTGAGTCAGGGGTTTTTTTTAGTGGTACTGGGGATTGAACCCAGAACCTTCACACTGAGCTGCATCCTGGCCTCTTGTTATTTTTTATATTTTGAGATGGGGTCTCACTCAGCTGCCCAGGCTAGGCTTGAACTTGTAGTCCTCCTGCCTCAGCCTCCCAGAGTACTGGCTCAGCCTGAGTTTTTCTGTCCCAAGTAATGAGAGGGACGCCCCCAGCTGCCCCATACCCCACCTGAGGGTCTCTGGGTGGCCTCTGTGTGCGGCTGGGAAGGGACAGCTGAGGTCTGAGGCACAGGCAGAAAGGGCCTTCGGGTGTGCAGGGGGAAGCCCGGCCTCACTCATTTTGTTTCTGAATAATTCAACCGAATCAGCAAGTCCGGGAACTCCCCGGGGGTGGGTGGTTTCTCCCTAGTCCTGGGGGCTCAGAGACAAAGGGTAGTTTCTTAAGGATTTTAAAAACTCTCCCCAGAAGGCCAGTTGTGAACGCTCATCATCCCAGCACTAGGGAGGCTGAGGCAGGAGGACAGCTGTGAGTTGGAGGTCTATCAAGTGAGTTCAAGGCTAGCCTGAACTACCTACATAGTGAGACCCTGTCTCAAAAAAACAAAACAGGGCTGGGGATTTCACTCAGTGGTGCCACTAACTGCCTTGAAAGTGCAAGGTCTTGAATTCAATCCCCGGTACCAAAGAAAAAGAAAGAAATCATGGTTATCAAAAAAAAAAAAAAAAAAAAAATCCCTTTCCCAAGAAGCCTGAGCAGTTCCCAGTTCCTGCAGCACAGGAACCCCCTCAGCTGGGGAACCCGGGACAACTCAGCCCAGGAGGCCACCTCCCCTGGTGGGAGCTTGGGAGAAGCTGGGGCTGGGGCTGGGGCCAGGTGCAGGTGGGGTGCATACCCTGCTCAGCCAGCTGGTCCCCCTCTCAGAGGACCCCTCCAGACCTGTAAGAAGCCCCCACCCAGCCCCAAGCCAGACACAGTGTTGCCTGACTATAATCTCAGCACTCGGGGAAGCTGAGGCAGAAAGACCAAAAGAATGAGCCCAACCTGGGCAATCTAATGACTGAGCAAGACTGTGTCTCAAAATAAAAAATAAACAAAAAGGGGTTGGGCATGGTGGTGCGTATCTGTAATCCCAGCACTCAGGAGGCTGAGGCAGGAGGATCACAGCAAATTCAAGGCCAGGCTGGGCTACGCAGAGAGTCTCTGTCTCAAAAAAGGGGGTGGGTGGGGGCTCAGTGCAAAGAGCATCAGTTCAATCCCCAGTATCCTACAGGAGAAAAAAAAGAAAGAAAAAGGGGCTCCTCCTAAAGAAAACTTTTGCTTTCTTTCCTGGCACTGGCAAATTTGTTCTCTCACTTTCTTATTTGAGGTTGGTCTCAATGATCATGCCCGCTTTATTCCCATTACTCAAAACACTGGAGCAGCAAGGCTGGCTGGTGACCCCAGGGTGGGGTGGCATGCAGGTGCTGTGTGATCCAGGAGCTGCTCAGAGGAGAGGCCCTGCAGGTTCTGCTCCAGGCTGAGTCTCTGTTACCCGGCTGGGTCCCTCATCCTCTCTGGGCAGGAAAGCTGCTGCTGTTGTGGGAGAAGAGGGAGGAAATCATGGCTGGCTTCTTGGAGAGGGCAGCAAGGTGGCTGAGAAGTTACCAGGAAACAGGATCCCCACACACAGGCCCCCAAGAGTCCTGAGGTCCAGAAGCTTAGAGGGGCCTAAGATCACCGAGCACCTGGGCGGAGGCCCCGGGACCGTGCTGTGTGACCTACAGCTGGTGGCTGCTGGCTGCCCTCTCCGGGTCTCAAGAAATACTTTACCTGTTAAGGACTGAGGTGGGGCTAGAATCCCGACTCCAAATCCTTTGGACCCAGTCCCCGGGGACATTCCAAGTGACACTTAACCCAGGGAGGGGCAGCCTGAGGCTGGCTAAAGGCCAGGCTGCCGCCCCAGGGGCCCTGAACCTGGAGTCCTTCACGCTGGACTTCTGCTCTGGGGACCTCACCAGTCCCGCCTCAATTTCCCTGTCTCAGCCCAGTCTCACTGCTGTGCGTACGAACTCACCCACCTGCCCAGATGGGCCCCAAGAGCACGGGGGGGGGGGGTTACAGTGGGAGGCCCCTGCCCAAATGCCCTACGGTGGGGGAACCCCAGGCTTGGAAGCAAAAGTACTGGAAAGGCAGGTAGCATCCCATTGGCTGGGCTGGTGGCTACTGTGCCTGCTGAGTGACAGCTCCCAAAGCACCCTGGGTGTGTGTGGGGGGGGCAGGCAGGGGGAGAAGTTCCCAAGCAAAGGAAGGGCTCCCTTCCTCTACCCCACCCTGCAGGCCTCCACTTCCTCTATTCCTGGTCCCCTGCCTGCTCTCTTGTCAGCTCCTCTGGCCCCCACCCAGCCCATCTTCTCAGGGTCCTTTCTGAGGGCAGGACACACAGTCACTTATTCCAACAGAGCACAGCTGGCATGGATGTGGCAGGAGAAAGTGGAGGCGGTAGAGACCCTTAAAGGCTCATGGTATGGTGGGGTAAACTGAGTTATAAATTCCAGCCCAGTGCCTTGGTGTGATCTGAAGTGGGGAGGAAAGTGTATGCTGCAGATGCCAAAGGAATCCCAGAAGGGGCCTTCTGAGACAGACCTTCTGAGATGGGCCTTGAGGGGTGCATAGGAGTGCACCAGGGAATGCTGCTGCAGAGAGAGGGAAACACAAAGCAGCAGGCTGGGTAAGGAGTTTTCCAGCTTGAGGTCAGGTGGGGCTGGGAGCACCTGCTCCTTGGCTGGCCCCCAGTTGAGAGGAGAAAAAGTAGCCATGCAGGTCCTGCTTGGAGATCAGGTCTGGTCCTACCCTATGCAAGAGCCCTGGAGAGAGCCTCCCGACTCCCGGTCATCCTGCAACCCCGGTGGGTGGCATCCTTCCCTGGCACCCCACTAGTATCAGTGAACAGCCTGAGGGTGCCCTAGCCAAGGGGAGCCAATAGGGCTACCTGCCCTTGCCCCACCTCCACCAGCCCGGTGCACTGCAGGGCTGGCAGGAGGTGCAGCAGCTGGCAAGATGCCTACAACTGAGAGATACAAGGCTAGGGATGGCGCAGTCCTGTCCCCCCTCCCCCCTGGAAGCAGGGAGTGGCTGGGTGGGAAAGTTCCCCCAGCCCAGGGCAGTGGCAGGACAGAATGCTACAGAACGGCCTCCACAGTGTGCTGGCTGGGCCACCAGCCTCCTCCTCCCTGGCCCGGATTCTGCAGCCATATATGGACTAACCCTTACTGGCTCCAACATGTGCACACTTGGCGAGCACCTACTAAGTGCACAGTCCCGACCGGGCTCTGGGTGCACTGGGCCACCAGCCTGTTTGTCTTCATGTGAAAACGCAGACTCCTGTCACCCCCTCCCAGTTCCTCCGTGTTGAGCGCAACATCCCTGGTATTTGGTGGGTGGACCCAGAGCAAGACAGAGTGACAGGAGAGTGTCCTCTCCGGCTGCGGGGAGCTCCCAGCACCACCTCCAACTCCTGGGTGGCACATGCTCCCCGAGTCCCTGGCAGCCCCGGGTGGTCCAGGATAGTTCAGCTGCGGGCACACATGACAGGCAGACTCACTCAGGGTGGTGGGGCCCAGGACAAGTGCTGGGTGGCACCGTCGCAGCCCAGCAGAGCCTGGTTACCAGCTAACGGCCGGGCCTGGCATTGGTGGGTGTGACCAGGCAGCCCTCAGAAACGGCCTGGAGGCCCGCCATCATCCCTTGCTGAAAGATCACCATGTCTTCCCAGGCCTGCTGCAGGGGAGGCGTGGAGTCTTCGTCAGGGGCCACCTCCAGCCACTGCTCTGTCTTTGAACACATCCCTAAGTCTCCTGAGAGGGCGAACCACCCCCCCACCCCACCCCACCCCAGCCCCGTCCGGCTCCTCCAACCACACTCTACAGCTCCAAGTCCAAGCAGCAACCCTATCACACACTGCAAACTGAGGCCCCCAGCCGGGTCGCGGGACCAGTGGCCTCCTGCGGGCAAGGGAGTGACTCTGACCTCCCTGTGCCCAGGGGGCTCAGGCAAGGGCCTTGGCAACCAGGAACCCAAGCATTCCCCCACCTGGGCACACTCCTCATGTCACGGCCAGAGAGTCCTGCGCTGGGTGGGGGTTCCGAGGCAGGCAGGCAGGGCTCAGGCCTGGGCACAGCGGGCACAGACACAGCACTGTCCAGTGGGGTAGGGGGTGTGCGCACCTCCAGGCCAGAGGGCCCCCCCCCCGCCCCCGCCCCGGCACCAATGGGCAGCCAACGCCAAAACTCTCCATCCTCTTCCTCAATCTCGCTCTCTCTCACTTTCCTCTTTCGGTTTTTTTTTTTTTTTTTTTGGAAGAGGAGGGGAGAGGGGGTAGAAAAATGCTGCACAGTGCGGCGAGGCCGGTGAGTGAGCGGCGCGCGGCCAATCAGCGCCCGCCGTTCCGAAAGTTGCCTTTTATGGCTCGAGCGGCCGCCTTGGCGGCGCCCTATAAAACCCGGCGGCGCGGCGCACAGCCACTGCCGAGTCCGCGTCCAGCCAGCGAGCACAGTCTCTCGCCTCTCCGCCGCCGGTCTCACCGCCACCCAGGTAAGGCCCGCGCCGCGCACTTCCCCGACCCGCCTGGCCGGCCCGAGGTGGCCTGGGCCCCGTCGCCCTTGCACAGTCGCGATGTCCGAGTGTAGGCGCTTGGAGGGCCCTTCGGGCCGTTGTGTGGACGCTTAAGATCCATTCGGGCCGCGAGGTGGACTCCTAAGGGTCCACTCCACTCGGCTTGCGGTGTGGGCACGTGGGGAGCTGAGCCAGCTACTGGGGCTGCGGAGTGGACACTGCAGAGCCACCGGGGCCGCGGAGTGGACACTCGCAGAGACACCCGACTGGCGGGTGGTGGACTGCGCCTTCTCCCCGTCCCGGGGTCCGGCGCGCCGTGCTAAGTGGCGGACGCTTGTTCCTGCGAGCCGGCTGCCTGCTCTGCGGGGCGGGCGCGGCGGACCCTACCGGGTGGGGGGGGCTGGGGCGCTGCTACGCGTGCGCGCCGGTTCTCCCCAGCGCCGCGTCGCGGGCCGGAGCGAGGGCGGGACTGCCGGCCGGAAGGGGTGGGCCCGCCGCGTCTCTAGGGCGCATGCGGGCGGCGCGCCGGGACCGCCTCTGACCAGTGTTTGCCTTTTATGGTAATAACGCGGCCGGCCCGGCTTCCTTTGTCCCCGAGCTGGGCGCCCTCCGGCGCCCCCTGGCTGCTCGAGGCCGCGGTGCGCCGGAAGTGGGCAGGGCGGGGGCGACCGAGACCCTCTATAGTCACCGCGCCGCTCTACCTGCAGCTCGCCATGGATGACGATATCGCTGCGCTCGTTGTCGACAACGGCTCCGGCATGTGCAAGGCCGGCTTCGCGGGCGACGATGCCCCCCGCGCCGTCTTCCCCTCCATCGTGGGGCGCCCAAGGCACCAGGTAGGACGGTCAGCCGCGTGGACCCCGGCAGGGGACACTCTCCTCTGCCTCTGCGGTGGGGGCTTCCCGGGTGGGCCCATGGGGCCTGCGTCCAGGCTGAAGACCTGCTCCTTCGCAGGGCGTCATGGTGGGCATGGGCCAGAAGGACTCCTACGTGGGAGACGAAGCCCAGAGCAAGAGAGGCATCCTGACCCTGAAGTACCCCATCGAGCATGGCATCGTCACCAACTGGGACGACATGGAGAAGATCTGGCACCACACCTTCTACAATGAGTTGCGCGTGGCCCCTGAGGAGCACCCCGTGCTGCTGACCGAGGCTCCCCTGAACCCCAAGGCTAACCGTGAGAAGATGACCCAGGTCAGTGGCTGCTACCTTCCCACCCAGAGAGGCCTTCTCCATTCTTGAGACCTTCTGCCACGCCGTATCTCATGTCTCTCTTCTGCCATTCTCTAGGGTCCTCTTTCTTCTCTGACCTGAGTCTCCTTTGGAACTTTGCCGGTTCTATTCGCTTTCCCCAGATGAGGTCTTTTTCTCGTGTTTGTGTTTCTGACTAGGTGTTTGAAAGGCAGTGTTGTAGGTGTAGGTACTAACACTGACTCGTGTGACAGCCGATGCGGCTGGTGTAAAGTGGCCTTGGAGTGTGTATTGAGTGGGTGCACAGCAGGTCTGAACGGAACCCCAGCACACTTGGCTGTGTTCTTGCACACTGCATGTCCCCAGTCTGCCTTGACCCCACTGATGACTTCCCCAGCCGTGTGACGAGGCCTGTTCCTCTCTACAGATCATGTTCGAGACCTTCAACACCCCAGCCATGTACGTGGCCATCCAGGCTGTGCTGTCCCTGTACGCCTCTGGCCGCACCACTGGCATTGTGATGGACTCCGGTGACGGGGTCACCCACACTGTGCCCATCTATGAGGGCTACGCCCTCCCCCACGCCATCCTGCGTCTGGACCTGGCTGGCCGGGACCTGACGGACTACCTCATGAAGATCCTGACGGAACGTGGCTACAGCTTCACCACCACGGCCGAGCGGGAAATTGTGCGTGACATCAAGGAGAAGCTGTGCTACGTTGCCCTGGACTTCGAGCAGGAGATGGCCACTTCCGCATCCTCCTCCTCTCTGGAGAAGAGCTACGAGCTGCCCGATGGGCAGGTGATCACCATCGGCAATGAGCGGTTCCGCTGCCCAGAGGCGCTCTTTCAGCCTTCTTTCCTGGGTGAGTGGAAGGTTTTATGGTCCTGTCCCAGCCTGGTGTCGGCACGTGGGTCATGCTGTGGAAGTTAACTTCGACCTCCATTTCTCCTCAGGCATGGAATCCAGTGGCATCCACGAAACTACCTTCAACTCCATCATGAAGTGCGACGTGGACATCCGCAAGGACCTCTATGCCAACACAGTGCTGTCTGGTGGTACCACCATGTACCCAGGCATTGCTGACAGGATGCAGAAGGAGATCACAGCCCTGGCGCCCAGCACGATGAAGATCAAGGTGAGTGTCCCTTGTGGTCAGGGCCACCATCTCCAGTGGCTCCCAGTGGGGCTTCCCCTGATCTCCAGGGCCCTCCTGATGACTCTCTCCCTTCACTCTGCAGATCATCGCCCCCCCTGAGCGCAAGTACTCTGTGTGGATCGGTGGCTCCATCCTGGCCTCGCTCTCCACCTTCCAGCAGATGTGGATCAGCAAGCAGGAATATGATGAGTCAGGCCCCTCCATCGTGCACCGCAAATGCTTCTAGGCAGACTGTTACTTCGCTGCCTTTCACCCTTTCTTGACAAAACCTAACTTGCGCGCAGAAAACCAGATGAGATTGGCATGGCTTTTTTTGTTTTGTTTTGTTTTTTTGTTTTGGCGCTTTTGACTCAGGATTTAAAAACTGGAACGGTGAAGGTGAAGGTGACAGCAGTCGTTTGGAGCGAGCATCCCCAAAGTTCTACAATGTGGCCAAGGACTTTGATTGTACATTGTTCTTTTTTTTTTTTTTTTTTTTTAATCATTCCAAATATCGTGAGATGCATTATTACAGGAAGTCCCTCACCCTCCCAAAAGCTGCCCCACTCTGCAGAGAGAGGGCCCAGTCCTCCCACCTCCATACAGGGGAGGTGACAGCGTTGCTTTTGTGTAAATTATGTAATGCAAATTTTTTTAATCTTCGCCTTAATAACTTTTTTATTTTGTTTTATTTTGAATGGTCAGCCATCATGGCCCCGTTTTATGTCCCCCAAACTTGATGTATGAAGGCTTTTGGTCTCCCTGGGAGTGGGTTGAAGTGTGGAGGCAGCCAGGGCTTACCTGTACACTGACTTGAGACCAGTTCAATAAAAGTGCACACCTTAAAAGACGAGGCGTGGCTTGTGTTGTTGGGTGTGGGTTGATGTGGTGTGGGTTGTGGGTGTGACCAGGGCCCAGGCCAGGTGGGTGGAGCTAGCCTCTTGTCCCAAGGCCTTGGTGCCCCTCATCTGTGATCCTTCAGAGCATGGGGAGCTGCTTCCTGGCCTTTTGGGGGTTGAGCATGCCCTATAGAGGGTGGCAAGTACCTCAGGAAGAAAACGTGCTGAGCCTTGTGTCTCAAAGGAATTGGGGTGTTAAGTGGGACTCCTGGCAAGATCTCTCTTCCTCACTCCACTCGGGTTACCCTGCCCTGGTGAGAGGCTGCCCAGTCAGCACTTTGCATCCTGCTCACGTTGGCCCTAGCTGTCTTTGGGGAGGGAACCGGGACCAAGGTCTGCAGTCCTGTGACTAGGAGGGGACCTGCCTGTGGTCTTTCACTTCTAAGTTCCTGAAGTCCAGGCCAGAACCTTCAGGGGGCTGCTGAGGGCCCACTCCAGGGTTGGGGTAGGGCTGGGATGGCTACCTTGTACTCCTGAGCAGGTGGGGTCTCCAAAGCTGTGCTCCCCTGGATCCCTGGACTGCTGTCACCCTAGGCAGAGGGGACAACCTTAGAAGGGCTCTTGGGACATCTCAGCCTTGGGGGCTGAACAAAAGTCGCACGCTGGCCCTGAAGGCTGCTTAGGTGACCAGCAAAGGTCCTGCCCTAGAGAGACTGTCAACTTGGAAATGACCCTGCTCATTCCTCCACCCACTATTCATTCACCCACCCACTGCCAGGTACAGGGGACAAAGGGGAACAAGCCTGTTGTGTTCCCATCCTGGGCTGCAGGTACAGGTGCCCCAAGCAGAAGAGGCAGTGGGTGTCTACGATGGTACGATGGTCGTGTTGCCAAATGTGGTTTCACAGGTGTAGACATCAACCTTAACAAAGCTCTAAATGCCGATTGATTTATTTGAGACCTGGTCTTGCTATGTAGCCCAGGCTGGCCTCCTGAGTGCTGGAATTGTACATGTGCACTACCTCACCCGACTAGAAATACACATTTTTTAAAAAAGGCAACTATTTTGCCTTTTTTGGGTAAAAAGGCAAGCATTCTAGAAACAGGCAGGCTAGGGGCTGGGAGACTTCTCCAGAATGCTTCCTGAGGGCGGACACTTGAGCTAGCCTTAGGGGCTAGAGGACCATGACCTGGGCAGTGGTGTGTCTTGGACGTCAGACGAAAGCATGGATTGACTGGGGACAGAGGCCAAGAGATGAGTCACAACCCCTGGAACAGAATGGGACAGAGGGTGGTTGGGGACATGGCTTGGTTACCTGTGTGTCCTGGGGGAGTCACCACATTGCTCACATTTGCCTTTGAGAAATGGGCCGTCCGGAGGCCACGAGCAGGTGCCTTGAAATCCTTGCCTTTAAAGGTCGAGGAAGTGAGACCGGACGCGCATTTGGCCCAGTCCTCTGGCCCCGCCCCTCCCTCGGGGCCAGCATCCAGTGCCTAGCATCACCGACTTGGCTGTTTGAAGCCAGAAGAAGACACATGGCTGTTGGCTTTTTCCCTGCACCCATTGTACAGGTTGAGAGCCTGAGGCTTAGAACAGGTGGCTTTCCTGTCTCCTCATCCAATGGGCCAGAAAAGTGGAACCTCCCTTGCCCAACCCTCTCAAGGCCCAGGGATCCTAACCGCCACTGCCCTGCAGCCCCACGGTTCCTCCTGTGTCTGTGCCACCCCCAACAGGAGACTCCCTGTTTTCTCAGGTGGCTGGCTCCCCCGGTGAGGTGACTTGGACCCCTGGAGTAAGTTAAGCTTCCTTTTTCTTTTTCTTTTTTCTTTTTTCAGTATGGAGGATTGAATGACTCTGAACCCAGGGCCTTCAAACTGAGCTACACCCTCAGCTCTTTCTTCATTTTTTGTTTTTGACACAGGGTCTTGCTAAGTGAAGTTGCCTAAGCTAGGTTCAAACTTGGGATCCTCCTGCCTCAGCCTCCCAGATACTGGAACTATAGGTGGGCACTGCCACATCTGCTTTGACTATTTAAATTTAACGAAAATTAAATTTCATTTCCTTAGTGGCATAAGCCACATTTCAAGTGTCCAACAGCATTTGACAGAAGTTTATGCAGAACTCATAGGGATGATTACCCACAGGGACAAAAGCCTCCTCTGAGCGGCAATGGCGGAGGATGTAACAGGACTGTGACCTGCTCTGAGTTTTGTTGTATTTTTGGTGCTGGGATGGAACCCAGGCTTCCAGCATCCTAAGTACACAGTCTAGCACTCAGCTATGCTCCCCAGCCCAACATGCACATTGCTATTTTATTTGTTTGTTTGTTTTTGGTACCAGGGATTGAACTCAGGACCTTGCACTTGTGAGGCAGGCATCAGAACCACCACATTGCTATTTTTAAGTACTTATTTATTGATTTGTGATACTGGGGATTGAACCACCCAGGGCTTCTACACTAAGCTACATCCTCAGCTCTCTTCTAGTTTTCTTTTTCTTTTGGTGGGGGGTACCGGGGATTGAACTCAGGACCTTGCGCTTTCGAGGTAGGTGGCGGAATTTAGTTTTCTTTTTTAACTTTGAATGAATGAATGAATTTTTTTTGTTTTTTGGGGGGCACAATGGTCTCACTGTGTAGTTTAGGCTGGCCTGGAATTTTTTTTTTTTTCTTTTTGGTACTGCCGATCAAACTCAGGATGTTGTGCTTTTGAGGAGGCAGCCGGCAGCACCACTGAGCTAAATCCCCAGCTGACCTGGAATTTGAAGGGACTTTGCTGCTTCATCCTCCCAGAGTTCTGGGATTACAGACTACCAGGGCTGGTTTGTTTGGTTTTTGGTACTGGGAATCGAACTTGGGCAGGCGGTGGAACCATTGAGCTAAATCCCCAGCCCCCAATTTGTTTTGTAGAGTCGTTTTAAGCTCAGTAAAAATGGGAGATAAAGTACAGAGAGTTTTATTGGAGGTCAATCAATCCTCTGACTGCCTAAAAGGGGGGATGATGGCGAGGGCTAAAGAAAAAAGGCCACAGAGACTCGCGGAATTTCAAAGTATATGGGAGGCTGGGAGGTCAGGACCTCAGAGTGGGCAAAGACAAGGACTCTCCGAGCTGGCCATCACTTACTGGGTACACGCAATAACTGGAGGGAGTATTGGGTGACTTAGGGGGGCAACAGTGACCCTATGTCAATGCTGATCTCATGCTGATGAGGATCTTAGGTCCATGAAGGCAGTAAGGAGAGCATTCTTACAATAACAGGTGGGATGAGTTAAGCTGGTAAAGAAGTTGTCCCTCCCCAGGTGAAACTTTTCTCTTTTTGTATTACTACTCCTTTCTCTAAGAACCAGGATGTCTTCAGCTGAGGTACATTTGCCCTTGGGCGCCATAGCATCATGGGACCATGAAGGCCTCAGCTGTGACCGGAGGCAAACAGTTCTGTTTCCCCATGCCATAGCCACCTCAAGGGCAAGGTGACACTGGGGCTTAGACAGCTATGGTCACACTTTAATTATGAAATGGTTTTCCCCCCAAATGTATGTAGAATGGCTCTTGACAGAGTTCCCCTGTATTCTTTACCACTTTACTACTGATGAGCCTACCGACACCATGCCATGATTCACCATCCGAGAATAGTTTCACTGCCTGAAACTCCTCTGTGCTCCTGCTATTCATTCCCCCCACTCGGGCAACCCCTGATCTTTCTTCTGGTGCTGGGGATTGAACTCAGAGCCTCACCTATGTCAGGCAAGTGCTCTACCACTAAGCTACACCCCTTGACCACATATCTCTGTATTGCCTGCATAGTTCTGTTTTTTTCTAGAATGTCCTACAGGTGGTTTTTTGTTTTTGTTCCCTTGAGACAGGGTCTCAAGGCTGGCCTTGAACTCACTGTGTAGGCCAGGCTGGCCTCAAACTCATGGCAATCTTCCTGCCTCAGCCTCCTGAGTGCTGGGAGTACAGGTGTGTGCTACCACACACCCAGGTATTTTATTATTTTTTTTCTTTAAAAAAATTTTTAGAGTTGGAATCATATACAGCCTCTTCAGAGTGGCTTTTTCGGCCAGGGATTTAGCTCAGTGGTTCCACCGCCTGCCTTGCAAGTTTAAGGTCCCGAGTTCGATCCCTGGTACCAAAAAATAAAAGTAAAAATAGGCTAGGGCTGTACCTTGGTGCAAGTGCTCTGGCTTCAGTCACTAGTACTGTAAAATAAACAAACAAACAAAAAACCCTTCAGATTGGCTTTTTTCATATATATATATATATATATATATATATATATTAGATTCTTGTTGCTAAAACAGGATATCTGACATCTACAATTCTAAGGAGGAAAGATTTATTAGGGCAGACAGCTTGCAGAGGTTTCAATCCATAGTCAGCCGGCTCCAGGGCAGAGTGGCAGAGCAGAGGGGTGTGGCAGAGGCAAAAGAGCTCAGAGAGCAGTCAAGAGAGGATGGGGCCAGGGATTTAGCTCCATGGTTCCGCCACCTGCCCTGCAAGCAAGCGCAAGGACCCGAGTTTGATCCCTGGTACCAAAAAAAAAAAAAAGAAAAAGAAATAAGAGAGGATGGAGAGAGACAGACCCATCAGGCCACGCCCTCAGTGACCCAGTAGACTAATCTGCTGGAGTGTCACCCTGCATGATCCGGTCACCTCCTCACCTAAGAGTGCGTGGTACATAGACCTATTTGGTGGTGGTGCTGGGGATTGAACCCAGGGCCTCTCAAATGGTAGGCAAGCACCCTACCACCAGAACTATGCCCCCAGCTGTACTCCTGTCCTTACTATTATTATTGTTATTTTTACTACAGTGCTGAGGATTGAACTCAGGGCCTTTGCACTGAGCTACATCCCCTGCCCATTGTTATTTTGAGACAGAGTCTCACTAAGTCACTAAATTGCTAGGCTCCGAGTGCTGGGATTACAGTTGTGCACCACCATGGCTGAATGTGGAGTGAACTGGGGCTTCCTATGTAGTGACTGTAGCCCTGCTGACACCAGTCGTAGCCCCAGCTCCTATGAACAGAACTGCTCGGCCATCCGTCCTGGACACTATGATGTAGTATCTCATTTAACCCTCACCGACTCAGCCACCACTTACCAAGGACCCGCTACTGCCAACCACTGCTCCATGGTGGGACAGAAAATAAGATGCCAGTCACCCATGGTGAAAGGCATACGTGATTACAGATGGAATGGGTCCAGGAGGCTGGGAGAACCCAGGCCTGCCCAAGGAGAAGGGTGTCAAACTTGGGTTTCATCTGCTTCAGGCTAGGGTGGTTGAAGTCGAGGGTGCGTGAGGAAGGAGCTAGTCAGGGGAAGTAGGACCAGAGGGAAACAGGACCTGTGAACTCCCCTGGATGGTTGTCTGGGTCAGAATTAAACTCTAGCCATGCATGGTGGCGCATGCCTGTAATCCCAGCACTTCCGGAAGCTGAGGCAGGGGTGTTACCACAAGTTCAAGGCCAGCTTGGACTACATAGTGAGTTCAAGGCTACACAGTGAGACCTTGTCTCAAAAAACAAAAAAAGGAAAAAAAAAAAAAACAAAGGGCCAGCAATTTAGCTCAGTGGCACTGCGCCTGCCTCACAAGCGCAAGGTCCTGAGTTCGATCCCCAGTACCAAAAAAGAAAGAAAGAAAGAAAGAATTGGGCTCTAATAGTAAATAATGGAAGCCCCATTTAACTTCCTTTTTCTGTTCGTTTTGAGTTTCTTTTTTCTTTTTTGTACCGGGGATCGATTTTTAGTTTCTTTACAAACTTGAAACTCTGGGTCGGATCCCTCCCCACTCCGCACTCATGCGTGTTTATCACTCCAGGAGAGTCTGTCTCACAAGGTTCTTTAGCCCAAAGTTTACCTGGCTAAGATCAAGATTGATACTGAGACTGAGGACACCAACAGGAGACAACAACAGGAATTCCATTAACAAGCTTTTTACAGTGGGTTCTGGAAGCCATCCAGCTCTCTGCCTGCTCCTGGAACAATTTCTTGGTCTCCAATCATCATCCTAATCCTGCAGCCTCCTGGCATTCCAGGAAAAGCGGTGCCTCCCAGACCACCCCATGCCAGGTTCCCCCTAGCAAATCAGTGTTGCCTCCACAGCAGGAGCCATCACCCCAGATGGAAGCCAAGTTATCCCCTCAGGGATTTCACCTCCCGGGACCAATCCCAAAATGCCAATCTCCAGCCCATGGTTGGCTGTTGACCCTCGACTGGGATTATCTGCCCTGCCAGCCGTGGACTCCACCTCCCTCAGGCTTTGTTTTCACCCAAAGCTCCTGCAGCCATGGAGACAGATCTTCGACCTCTTTATCTGTCCCTCCCAGGGTAGCTTGCTGAGCACAGCTCTGTTCTGCCCTTCACCCTGCTCATGTCCTCTTGATTGCCATCATGGAGCCAGTGGCTGAGCCTGCTCTGTTGGGATTTGAAGAGTTGAGACTTTTACCCTAAAATTTCCAGAACACTCCTGCCTCGGCCTGCAGGTGACTGGGACTATAGGCCTGCTCTTCTGCACCCAAACACTTTTTCTTTCAAGGGTAGGATTACCCAGTGCCGGTGTATGGGAGGCAAGTGCTCTACCACCGAGATCTGCTTTTTTTTGGGTACCAGGAATTGAACTCGGGACCTTGCGCTTGTGCAGCAGGTGGTGAAACTACTGAGCTAAAACCTCCGCCCTGAGATCTTTTTTTTTTTTTGGTACGGGGGCTTGAACTTAGGACCTTGCACTTATGAGGCAGGCGCTAGAACCACTGAGCTAAATCCCTGGCCCCCAAAGATTTCTTTTTTCAGTACTGGGTTTAAACCCAGGGATTTCACACTGAACCACATCTCCACCACCACCCGCCCCCTTTCTTTTTTTTTGAGACAGGGTCTCCCTATGTAGTTTAGGCTGGCCTCAAACTCACAGTGATCCTCCTGCCTCAGTCTCCCGAGTGTGCGATTACAGGTGTAGGGCACCATGTCCCGCATCTCAAACCCCTTTTAAATTTTTTACTTTGAGACAGGGTCTCAATAAGTTGCTAATAACCCGGGCTGGGCTTGAACTTGCAATCCTCCTAGCTCTATCTCTCCTAGTACTGGATTTACAGGTTTGTGCCACCATACCTGTCATCTCACAAATTATTAGTAAACTATTTTTTTTAACTTTTTCTTTTTTTTTTTTTGAAACAGGGTCTCGCTATGTAGTTCAGGCCGGTCTTGAACTAACTATGTAGCTGGGGGGTAGACTCAAACTCATGGTGATCCTCCTGCCTCAACCCCCTGAGTGCTGGGATTGCAGGTGTGGACCATTAAACTCAGCTCCTTATTAGTGAAGTATTTAAAAATGAAAAGGCTTAAGGGAAAGGCATAACATTCATACATTGTTTACTCAGCAAATACTATCTATTCAGAGCCTACTGCATGGCAAGATTAGTTCTAATAATCCTGCCCCTTCTTAGTTTATGGGAGTTGTCGGGGACCAAAAAATTAAAAAAATACAACAGGTCACTTGGGCCTGTTGGTGCACGTCTGTAACACCAGCACTCTGGGAGGCAGAGGCAGGGGAATTGCGATTTGAATCCATCTTGGGCAATAGTGATTTAGCAAGATCCTGGCTCAAAATATAACAAAGGTTGGGGATGTAGCTCAGTGCAAAGTCCCTGGGTTAAATCCCCAGTTAAAAAAAAAAAAAGTCAGATACAGAGCTATAGAGACATATCATACAGGACGAGGGCCAAGTTCAGGTCAGGTGTGAAGGGTGGGGAGGGCTATTTTATGTGGGGTGCTCGGTTGGTCTGACAGGTGGCTTGTGAATACAGCAGGCAGTGGAAAAGGCAAATGCACAGGCCCGGCGGCGGGGACGCGGTGCGGCTACAAGTGCTGTCCAAGTTGACTGTAAGGGGGCGTGCAGAGAGCAGGAGGCTTGCAGAGCCAGGACAGTGAACACGCCGGCCACTCTACGCCCAGGATGGACCCCGGGCCGCGCCACACCCAACATGGCGGCGCACCCCCCCCCGCTTGCGGACTAGCGGAAATACGTTTAGCGGGCGCCGGAAGTGATGGGGAGCCCCGCCCCTTACATGGGTCTCTTTTGAGCAGCAGACGCGCCGGCTTCGAGCATCCGTGGCGGGGCAGGCGAGAGGACCCGGGGCTGCGGCTCCACCGGCCGTGGCACAGCCCGCCTGTGACATGGCCAGCTTCGAAGAGGTACAGTCCGCGCTTTTCTACGCCCTGCTGCTGCCGCCTCGGCGGCCTGGGCCCCCTCGGTCCTTCCCGACCCCTCCCTCCTGGATCTTTCCTCTCGACCCTGGCTGTGCTTCTGGGCTCATCCCGGCTCCATCCGGTCCGGTTTCCAGGCACTCGCCCTGCCTCCAGTCCCGTTCCCAGCCCTACGGTCCTGATCCTCAGAGTGGCTTTCCCCCTCCGCCCCCTGAGTTTGGGGTTGCTCCGGACCTCTCACGGCGCTCTCCCGGGTCCCTGTGCCTGGACTCTAGTACACTGTCCCTCCATGCCAACTCCCCAACTTTTTTTCTATCGGCGAGTGCTGTTTTAGTCCAGTCCCCTTCCCTCTGGAGCCTGCTTATTGTATGACTTGGTGGAGGGGATGCAGGAAAAGCCATTTTACCTGGGTACTTGGGATTACCCTGCAAGTCCTTCCCCAAACGGTGCGCAGTTCTGGGCACGATGGGGCTTCCCACCGCGCCCTGTCAGAGGGTGCACGGATTCTCTCTGCCGCAGGGACGTAGTGGGCATCTGCACTCTGACTAGTGGGTTCCTTCCTGTTGCTTCCTGCCTACCTGTGTGCGTGCCTGGGTTTATGTCCATCATCTTGCAGGACTCAGCGGTGGGTGAATGTCTGAGTCTTAGGAGCTTGCTTGGGTTCAAGCAGTGAGAAATTCAAGTGGAAGATGGCTGGGATTTGCTGACAGCTCCTCATCATTTGAAGGAAGTTTTGAATTTGGTCCAGAATTGGCCCTAGTGAGTCCTTGATTGAGACAGAAGGGTGTTTGGATCAGCTGTAGGCCGATGGTAGGATCAAAGGGCTAGAATGCTCCAGCTCCCGGAAGAAGAGGTCTGGGGATCCTGGCTGTGTTGCCAGCTTGCAGTAGGGAGTGTGTGTGGGAAGGTCCGGACCTTGGTCTTAGGAAGTGCTGTCCCAAAGGCTCCTCTATTCTCTGAAGCATATGGGCCACCTGCCAGCCGGGCCTGCCTCTTGTTCCATCTTTGGTGTCTCTTGTGGAGGGAGAGAGGAACCTTGCTCAGCCCTGAATGAGGAGATCAAGGTCCCTTACTTTAGGATGGTCAAATTCTAAAATTTATTTAGTGAACACTGGGCGTGATGGTGTATGCTTATAATCCCAGCACTTGGGAGGCTGAGGGAGGAGGGTTTCTGAGAGGTTGAAGCCAACTTGGGCTATATACTGAGTTCAAGGCCAGCTTGATAATTCAAGTGATAATTCATAGTAAGACCCTGTCTCAGCCTCCCCCTATATACATATATAT